AGGTCTCTGGCAATATATCTACATCAATTATTGCTGATACCTGTTATTGTCAATAAAGATTGTATTTAATACACATACATCTTGAATGATACATTAAATAACTTATATTCATATCACTAATATATACCTGCCTAAAATCATGTGGATTAGATATAGCCAATGATTTTGGTTTTCCAGGGGTGCCACCAAGAATACTTGATATCAAATTTTTTGGTTTCATTGTTCCATATCCATTTATCTCTTCTATTCCATCTTCTGTATAAAAAGATACTGTATTCTCTTAATTTATTCACTTTTTACTTTTTCTTTTTATTTATTACAAAGAAATATTGCTTTGTAATAAACACTTGTACCTTACACAAATAACTTAATACAACAAATAATTTAATACAAACATAATAATTCATCTTTAATACAAAATTACCTTACCCTTTCTTTGAATAAAAATTCTAAGCAGAGGTTTTGCAGCTAATAAAGCTCTTGACAAATTGTTGTCATTGTTAATGGGTAACAAATCACCATCTGTAGGATCTGTGTACCATATGAGAAAACTTAAATCCAAACCAATGTCATGTCTCTCACTCAATAATTTTCTAAAATTTTCATAATTAATTGCTTCATTACGGTTGATTGAGAACCTTAGGATATCTGCATCAAACTAAAAAGTATTCAAATTTTTAGATAGAATGAAGAAAGAAAGAATACCTAAATATTGTTATATGAAGCTTTCTTTTCTTATAGAGATTAAATTAAAAATTTACTTTGCTTTTCACTGCGACAATATCACTATCAACTTGATGGTGAAGTTTGCTTTTAGACATGATTTTTAATTTCAAATTATTCTGCGGATTTAAAAAAGATAAAACAATATAACGACACAAACAATATGTACTTGCAATTTGTAGATATAAGAGCGAAACCACTGACTAAGGATAAGATAGACATGACATCATATGGAACTTGACGTCTCAAAGTCTGAGATATCGACCAAGAAAAAATCGGTTTTGCGCACTCTACATTTAATCAATGGCGAATTAGAGAATTACATCAAGCAAACAATTAGATAAGTTAGTTAAATAAAATAAAATTCGTTATAATGTTGTCAAATAATATATCTCCAGATTCCGAAACACGAAATCAAATAGTACAAAATGTAGAGTTAACTGTGATTAAATTAATTTTATCAAGAAGATGCTTTTATCGTCACGTTATCATATTCGTGAATTACAAATTTATTTTAAACATTCTAATTCATTTACGTTAGGGATTCATAATCTCCCGCTTCAATGTACTAAATAGTGTAAAGCGACAAGTGCGCCGCGCGCGGTCTTGTTAGTAAAAATAATTATTCTTCGACTTTATGTCTACAAGTTGTAAGTACGTGTCGTTCCTGTCGTATTGTTTTATCTTTCCTAAATCCGCATAACAGTATCGTAACAATTTGAAATTAAAAATCATGTCTAAAAGCAAACTTCACCATCAAGTTGACAGTGGCATTGTCGCAGTGAAAAGCAAAGTAATTGACTTTTTAATTCATCCTTTACATTAAACAAGAAAAAGCTTCATATAACAATATTTAAATATTCTTTCTTTTTTCACTTGAATATTTTAGTTTGATGCAGATATCCTAAGGTTCTCAGTCAACCGTAATGAAGCAATTAATTATGAAGATTTTAGAAAGTTATTGGCTGAGCGACATGATATTGGACTTGATTTAAATTTTCTCATATGGTACACAGATCCTACAGATGGTGATTTATTACCCATTAACAATGACAACAATTTGGCGAGGGCTTTACTAGCTGCAAAACCTTTGCTTAGAATTTTTATTCAAAGAAAAGGTAACTTTCTATTAAAGATTAATGTGTAAGATCTAAGTGTGATAGTATTTGTTATAAAATAAAGTGTAGTGAATAAATGGAAAGAATAAAGCATCTTTCTATAACAGGAGATGGAATAGAAGAGATAAATGGATATGGAACAATGAAACCAAAAAATTTGATATCAAGTATTCTTGGTGGCACCCCTGGAAAACCAAAATCATTGGCTATATCTAATCCACATGATTTTAGGCAGGTATGTATTAGTGATATGAATATAAGTTATTTAATGTATCATTCAAGTTATATGTGTATTAAATACAATCTTTACTGACAATAACAGGTATCAGCAATAATTGATGTAGATATATTGCCAGAGACCT